GACAGGTTATGAAAGATGAAGTGGAAAGTACAACATTGCAATCAGAAACTAGGCAGAAAGTTGAGGCAAAGCAGATGATTGCATTTTTCCACAGCGATTATTTAGTTGACCATCACCTGCACTGGCCATCCTGGCATTTGCGTCGGTCTGGACAATGGGTGTCCTCATCTCCAGCCCAATCACTCGGCCATCTTTATTGAGCCATCTTCTCTTGACAGTTGCCATGAGATGGCGCTATGGGGATAGGGATGGTCAAGTGCTTTCTCCCACTCATTGCTGTTTCTGCAGACTGAAAGCAAATTGGAGCAGTTTTTCTTTTATTTTATTATTTTGAGTTTTGTGCCTTTTAAATATTCAAGGACTCCGATGATAAGAATATGTTTAAGGGAAAATGAAATGCATATGAAGGTTAAGATACATTTTTCATTGTTTGAATGGCCTTTAAATGATTAGAAAACTGAAGCTAAAAGGAGAAGCTGTATTTTTTATCTTCTCTCAGTATTCATCAGTTTAGAGCTAACCTTACAAATATATTTTAGATGCTAAGATATATAGTAAATAAGTTGATCTGGAAGCTCAGCGGCCTTCATGGTATAAATTATTCATGCCATCATAGGTAGCACATATTTCTTGCATAATATGTATTTTTATCGTAGTTACAGCATTTTTACCTTTATGTTATACAAAAAAAGGAGAGGAATCTAATTGTTTCTTGTTTCCTCTCACTTTGTTGATTGTTGACTCTTGTAGGCCTTTTCAAGTAATGGATGGAAGAATGACTCTCAGTATTTGCCAAGGAATAATTTAGTGAGTTTCAGGCATTTGGAGGAAAGAGAGACAATGTAGTTAAGTGGAGTAAGACAAACCCTTTACAAATTCCATCCTGCCCTTTCCATCAAGTCAGCAGAGATTCTCATTTTACTTATGTGTGTAAGCCATGCAGCATGGCAAATGGCAAAAGCTCCCTCAAGCCTGGTTTCCCGCCCTCTGTCCTCGAGCTTCTTGGGAAAAGGGAGGCAATGAGGTACAGGGTTATGGGTAATTCAGATACTAAAACGTATGGGTGTTTTTAGGAGTAGGATTGCTGTGGCATCCTAAGTTAAGATGCCTTTGTTCATCATCTAAGTTCTCTATTTCATATCTATTTTTTGTCAACATTAGTTTTGGGTTTCTACTGGCATTATCCTTATTAGTCAGTGACAACAGAGCGATCTGATGACTACAGGAATCTAGTCAGCTCTCCCAGCCACTATGCCCAGGGATCCTCCATGGAGTTGTGGGTCCTGGCTTACGTGAACACAAAAGAAACCATAAAGACATTGTGTCCCTTGGCAGAATCAGTACCTGTCCCTGGACTAGAGAGGAAGGCTATGAGGAGAGCAGCATTCATAGCAGCCTATACTCAGATAATTTTAATGTAGGTTATTGTGGGGTTTTTTGCAGTAAAAATCCAAAAGTTGATGTAAAATTCAAAGTATTTATATATGAATTCTCGGTTAATCATTTCAGCTCATGTGCAGTCTCACTGGAATTCCTAATTCTTTTAAATCTTTCTGGCTTCCACCTATAGCCATTTAGAGTACAACAAATACTAGTATGCGTTTGGTTTTCCCTCTCTTTGGTTTACATTTCAGTGACTTGAATATGTTTTTATATATGCTTGATGTTTGTGTTCCGCTAATGAGAATGGACAAATTCATCTCCTAAACCCTGGTGACTTCCTGTCGTAGAAGAGGTAGCCTCAGTAGAGAGCTGGTCCTGCCAGCTTAGGATCAACTGCCCTAAAACACTTTTATCAACACTTCTCTCATATTGCAGGGACTTTCATCCATAATTATACAGAAGGTCAGTTCACTTGCTTTCCCAGGGATATATTTTTCAAGTAATTTGTTTATAGGGTTCACCTGGACATTATTTTGTTTTATGTGGGTGATATTTATATTTTTTCAACAGCCTCAATGGTGTCTTCTAAAAACGTCCAGGTTAAAGTCTTTGAATCAAATCTACATTGTGAAGAATTAATCATCCATGAGTGTGTGTGTGTGTGTGTGTGTGTGTGTGTGTGTGTGTACGCACATACGCGCATGCCTGGGAAATATTCTATGTTGGTTTCTGAGGAAAATAATGGCCAGGCTTACTTAATTCACCCTTCAACAGAAGTGGAATTACTATCCATTGAGATATGGACTGAGGTACACTTTAAAATTCCATTATACAATTTCTAAACATTTATTGTGTTGTTTTCTAAGGCATGTGGATTTGACATTAGCAACATGAAATACCCATGGTCTAGGTTAGGGTGTGTGTGTGTGTGTGTGTGTGTGTGTGTACAAAGGTGTCTCAGGTAAGGGGGCACAGTTCACCTGGTAGACAGACGCTAGCTTACATGGAGATTGTGATGGGAGTTGAGGTTGCTGGGCTTCTAGATGGAAGGGAGCCCCTTCCTACATAAATCCATAGTGACCCCTACGGCCCTGTACACTCAGCAGAGCAGGTACCAACAGGCAGGCACACCTGCCTTGGCTGCTCTCCATTCCCAAGCCCTCTGGGAGTCTCTGAGGCACTTCTCTAGTTCCCCACAGCTCCAACTCTGAGAACAAGAGCGTCTCCTCATCTGGAGAGTAGGAGGGAGAGTGCAGCGTATGCTTCCTGCTGGTATTGTGCATGTCTGTAATCTTCATGTGTGCAAGGGGCTAGTGTCCCCGTGTGTGCACACAGGTGAGGCTGCTGTCCTGTGGGCTCTGGGAAAGGTTTCCTGGCCAGAGCAATTCAGGGTGTGTAATAATATACTAACTTAAAATGTTTTTACTTTTTCCGATTCACACATAAATTACCATATGAGCCAGCAATAGCCTTAGCATAAGCTAAAATTAATGCCAATGTTGCCCAACCTCTAGCAAAACCTCAGTGTGGTAAATAATAGACTTGCATGTTTGCTCCAAAGAAATGTGGCCAGTTCAGTTGTGTAGGTCAGAGGTTTTTGAATTGCATCCAGGAATGTCCCAAAGGTTCCATGAAATATTCTAACAGGTCCCTGAGGACAAAGAGTCAAGCAAAAGAGCCCTCTGTTATTCCTGCTGGAGCACTCCGCTTTCAGGCTTCGCAATCTCGGTATGCAACACAGAAGTTTGAAGAAAAGCTTTTGGTCACTTAAGCAAGTTTTCTCTTCGTCTCTGCATTGAGGCAGGCCACAGAGAGCTGTTTACTTAAACTTCATTGTGTGACTCCTTGCAGAATCATTTTTACTGATTTGTACTTTGTCACTGCCCCCTTGGCGTGTTCTAGGTGTGCTCTGAGACTCCACTGTATACTGATTTCCCTTGTCTATTTTATTGGTGACCATCATCTGTATTTATGAGGACTCTTGGGTCAATTCCATGAGCAGGGCCATGAATTCTTCTAAAACAATAATTTAAAAAAATACATAATTTTCTCCTATGTACATCATGGCTATCGTAGCTACTTCTTTCCTTTGGTCACTAGGAAGCTCACAGTCAGATTTGCTCCCCACTTTTAGCATGTGTGTGACTAAATATTTAGGGGTAATAACTTCAATCCTTGATATATTTTACGCTTTATCGTTTTATCCCCTTTGCCTGTGACTCTTGATTTATTTTTTCTAATACATCTATTGTGGCAAGTTGTCTCCGATCTCCTAACTCCGGGTAGAATTTTATTTATTATCTTTTGGAAAATTCCACCTGAATATGTTGTAGGCACATCAGACTTAATATTCCCTGAAGGAAATTCTTTGTATCTTCCCTTTCAAATTTGCCCCTTTTCCTGTTTCTCATCTTTGGTAAAAAGCCCCCATGGGTCCTGTCATCTGAGTTTGCACTCTTGCTATATTTTTTAACTTTCTCTCTCATTATCCCATCCAAATCCTTTTAATCCAGACTCAGCATCACCTTGCTTATTTCTCCTGCTTCATCAATACCTGCCTAAACTAGTTCATGAGCTCCCTAACTGGCTCAAGTTCTCCGCCCTCATCCTCTAGTGCAGTGGTTCTCAACCTTGGCTGCATATTAGAATCACCTGGGAATCTTTTTAAAATTCTGATTTCTGGGCCTCATCCTCTGGAAATTCTGTTTCTTTGTTACAAATGTTGTGGCTCCACCCCATAACAAAGAAACAGAATTTCTGGAAGATGAAGCCCAGAAATCAGGATTTTAAAAAGATTCCCAGATGATTCTAATGTGCAGCCAAGGTTGAGAACCACTGGGATAGTGATTTGTTAGGCACAGTGATGTCAGTTATTTAAAAGTCACTCGCTATAATTTTTATTCTGTACACAGAATGAAGCCAGGCCCCTCCCATAACAGTCAAGGCTCTATATGAGTTGCTGCCCAGCCTTTGTTCTCAACCTCATCTCCGTCCTTTCCTCCTTCCCCTTCTGTGTCTTTCACAGCAGCCACCAGACCATTGGCCAGTCCCCTAACACAAAACACATCTCACAACTGGTTCTCTGGGCCTGAAATGCCCTTTTGGCACCTGTAAGCCCTTATGTTTCCCTAAGGCTCTTTTCAAATATTTCCCTTTTTTTCTGATTACAGAAGAAGCCACTGCCTCTTCCTCAATCTTTCCATCTCACTTTCTTAACACTACTGCTAGAGCAGTCCTCACCCAGTTTTAGATTTTGTTGTGTATGTGTATCATTCCCCTCAAATCATGAGCTCCTCAAGGAGTTTCACTAAATAGAAGGTGGGAATATACCATGTATCTACCAACGGTCCTTTTAAAAATCAAAGTAAACTGAATGAGGGACCGTGGAGTTTCTAGGATTGATAATGTCTTCATTAGGTATGGATTAAAAACGTGGCTAATTAACTGCTGACCTTACAATGTGTCCTCTCTTTATGGTAATTGGAAATTTGTAATGCCATCATGATAAAAGTTCTAGCAGTCAACGTGAGTTTTTAGATTTCTGTACGGAAGAAACTTACCTGATTTTCTTTTTTTCTTATAGGAATAGGCAAGTCGAGAGGCTGAAAATCTGAAGAATGTTTCCAAAGGGTAATGTGGCTGTCATTTGCTGGGTATGGAGGAACATGAGGAAGCTATTTCTATTCCTTTCTCTCTGGCTGTCCCAGGCAGCTCATTTGGAAGGCAGAAAGGATAATCAGTTCATCTGGAAACCAGGTAGGAATGTCTGGCTGTTCCTTTGTCCCATTTTCATTAATGAGAAGAATATTCTTTCTCTCCTTGTTCTTATTGGTGGAGTAGTGGGAAATAGCCAGAGAGGAAAACTAGATTCTTCTTCATTAGAATACAACTTGCATTTGCTTTTTATTCCTGCATAATTGTCACCTCCATCCTTGATGCTTGCTATCCTTCTGAATTTTCACGTTGCTGTCAACTAAAGATATGATTTCCTTAGTTACATCTGCTTCTCCTTTGTCAGATATTTCACCACTGTCCAGCACACGTGTAGCCAAAGTGACACCTGAATTTAGCTGGTATCCTCGGCTTAAAATGTCTTGAACCAGTTCCGTGTGTCTCTTTCCTTTAGGGTACAAACTAGTTAGCTATTTATTATTGACCACTTTCTAATAAACCTGGATATCTAGGTTTGGGAGCGTGAAAAATTTCCCTAACCATTTGGCTTATTAGTTGTGACTATAAAGTCACCTTAATGTGTTCTCTACAAAACCACATGAATAAGCTGAATTGCGTTCGGAGGCTTTCATATAACTTATGTTCTTCTCTAACTACTTCCTTAATTTGGCTGTAGGAAGGATCTGTTGAATTTAATTTTAAAGGCTGATAATTTATTAACTTGCGTTATGAACCCCAGACATCTTGGTGCTTTGTATCACTGATGTTTTTCTTTGCTCTAGATTTTAATTTTCTTAAAGTTCCATAATCAGATCATATAAAATATGTATTACTGTTTCAAGAGTCCATTCTTGTGAATACAGATAACTTATATACTTAATAACTTGGAATGGGAAATGTGATGTTGTAGAAGATGTATGGTCCTCAAAGAGTTTTCATTTTAGTCTCATCATCTGTAAATTAAATAGACTGCAAATGTATCATGTCAGCATGAAAATATGTATAAAAGATAAATTTATAATATTTAAATGACTTTGCAAAAATGAAGTAAATTATGCTTTCAAGTATATTAAGTAAAAAACCCAGCACCATTAGAGATACAGTCTGGAGGAAAATTTAATTGCATTAAAGTCACTATAAATTAATTTAATTGTGGGCTCTAATATCACATTAGTGATTTGCATTTTTTACCATGGTAGTCTTAGGAAGCTTTGGAAATAGTTCTAAAAGTCAATATTGTTTTTTCTATGAATCAGGCTATTTTGTTTTAATTACAAAAGACTAAATATTTTATCAAAAAAATCTTTAAATCTTTATTGGTGAAAGTATTACATATGTCCCCTTTTTTCCCCATTGACCCTTTCTAGCCTGCCCCTGTCCCCCACCCCATTAAGCACATTTATATGACTATACTCCTCTCTAAAGTTCTCAAAAAAGTGCAGTTAAAATGGAAAGTAGCCAATCTGAAATATGAAGGTGTGAACCATGAAGAAAAAGAAAAGATACCCACTAAGAAGGGCCCCTGGTGGCCAACTGTGCTCAAAATTAAAAAAAACAACAACAAAAACAAAAACAAAAAAACAGCCTAGTGGCCATTTTTGCACAGAGGCCTCTCCTACAAACTGCACTTCATGAAGTCAGCACTCAACTGCCTACCTGCACTTTGCTTTTGCCATCTGAGACAGGCCTTCTAAAGGAGTTCCTGCTCCTATTTCAACCAATAGGACTGAGGCTCTCCCCATTCAATCAAAGTTGTGCAGCTCTGACCAATCAGAGAGGCTCTATTCTGACCAGTCAGGACAGAGCCCTTTGGACTAATCAAACTTCAAGGATTTGGAGTCCTTATTTGTATGAGAATGGGTCAATTGGGGCTGTCCACATAAGCCAGCTCCCCTCTGGCTTAGGAAGTACACTTCCCCTTTACACCAAGGATAAAGCCTTCTGCATCTCCTTGGCTGAGCTGAAACATGGAAGATGTTTCACAAGCGCAGCTCAAAGCAGAGTAGCCAACCAGACCACTGAGGAGCAGAGCTGCTGTCTAGTCAGTGCAGGGCCCGGCTCCAGGGCCGCCTGGCACCGAGCTGTTCTACAGCCATGCCACAGCACAACCCAGCTGATGTGCACTGAATAGTTTCCTTCTCCAACGCAACCCAAGTTGGGGTTCCTGTTGGGGTTGAATTGGTGCCAATGAGCACCTGTTGATAAAGGAGATGTTTTAAGAACATGGGCTCATTTTGAACAAAATTTTAAAAGTAAGTCTGCTTTTCTAAAAGTATTCAATGGAACAGGATGGTACAAATCCACTCTACAATGGATGAATACTTTGTTAACGGTCAAAGTATTTGATTTTACTTTTGCATTGCATATTTATTACTTGTAGTTGACCAGATATTTTTAAAGTAGAAAAAATTTAAAAGATACAAAATTAAAAACAAAAGTTCATACTTGTGTATATAAATAACAAACAGCACACACACAAAAGTTACTATTATCATTAATTAGGGTTCTGCCGAGAAAATAAATGGCACGTGCAAAGTAAGTAATTAAGAAGAGTTTAATAAAAGGATTATTTGCTCAAGTGGGAAAGTGTGAGCAGGGTTAAAGAACAGCTACAAGGAATTGTGGAGTGCTCCCTGGGCTAGTACTGTATTAACTTTGATGATTTCTGGGTCTGGAGGGGCAAAGAAAGAAAGTGGTTTCTAGAGTCTGGGGAGAAAACTTTATGGAGAGAATGCCAGACAAATGCTGTGGCCTTTAGAGGGATCTAATCAACTTGCAGTAGAAGTAGGAAGGGGAATGAACAAACCTTGTCCTTACATCTTCTACCAGGGCTCTCATTGGCTGAACCCAACCAGAAGCCACAAGGCAAAGGAGTCCATTGATGTGGCCACAAAGACAGCCTCCTGGGCAGGGAGCATGGTGAAGGACGGTGGGGAATGTTCATATGAAAATACTAAATTCATACATGTGCATATGTGCATACATACACACACTTTGCTTCATGCAATCAGTCATGCTTAGCGTCTATTTTTGTAGTTTTCTTTTTATCATAGAATGATGTGTTGATGAACATTACTTTTCAGTTCAAATGGATCAATTTCATCTTCTAATGGTTACATAGTATTCTTCTATATTTTTATTCCATAATTTATTTAACCAGCACCCCATTGCTTTATATTTTTTCCTCTATTGCTTGGAATTTCAGGATTTTTTAGTGTTTTGCTATTATACATAATACTGACATACGTGCAACATTATTTTAAAGATAAACAATAAATCAATTTGAGGAGCCATAAGTCCTAGAGCAATTCTGGGTAATCACCTTCAAAGACAACCCAAACATCTTAGATTCTATTCTGTGCTTATGACTAAGTTTATTGTATTTTATTTGGATTTAAAAAAAACCTGTACTGCACTGAAATTTACTGAATTCTTTGGAGTGTGTTATCAAATCCAGCCATTCAAGTCCAATGTAATCTGGAGTTGAACAGATTTCCATGGAGACCCAGTTAAATATACTTTGTTTCAGAAACCTAGAAACCATTCTTTGGTTCAGATTGTAGTGTCAACCACTAAAGCGCTTTGCTGGTGTCTGTTGTTTTCCCCCCTGAGTCTATAGATGTTAGTCAACCTCATCCAATTTAGAGGCATATCTAAGTGAGTCCTGGCTTTGGATAAACAATGGATTGATGGATCCTAGGAGGATGATATATATGTTGCTGAGAATTTCTGTTCTCAGGGAGAGACAAGAGCTGTAGGCTGCAGGATCGTTGATCTGGCAAGGATGTTGGATGCCTGTCATCATTGTGATGCCATCCTCTGATCTATATTTAGTGTCAGGCAATCTGTCTTGCTTGCCAAGAAAGAAGGATCACGTCAGCAAGAACATCAGATAAGGAGTGATGGTGGTGGTTTTAAGTAAATGTAACTATTCATGTCTGCACACGGTTTAGAGATGAACAGGTCATGTTTCTGAAGTCACAGCAACTAATGGTCTCCTTAAAAAAGTCCTCAGTGTTGGAGGGCTCATTCCACTAATACTTGACAAGTCCTTATGATGTGCCAGGTACTGTTACAAGCACATGAGTTAAATGCAGAATAAAATAGACAAATCCTTGGTCTTCATAAACAGGGTGAAAAACACAATCAAGAAGTTAATTGTTAGGTGGTGTTATGTGCTTAGAAAGAAAGATAAGGCAAGGAGGAGAGACACACAGTGACAGGTGAGAGATGGAAATTAGAAGCAGGTGGGTTATAGGGTGACTCCCTGAGGAAGTGGATTTGGGTAGAGACTTGAAGGTAGTGAGGAGCCAGTCATGGAGATAGCAGGTGAAGAATATTCCAGATGGAAGGAACTGAGTCAGAAGGCCTTGAGGCAGGAGCATGTGTGGCATGTTGAGGACCAGAGAGGGGCCAGCATGTGGAGCAGAGTGAACATGGGGATTGTGACTGTACAATTGATCAGAGAAGAATGGGGCCTGAATCAGGTATGTCCTCATAGGTCAACAAACAATAGTGACAATAGTGACCCATGGGGGAAGAGGGGAGTGCAAAGTGATGGGGGTCAATGGGGGAAAAGGGGGACATCTGTAATACTTTCAACAATAAAGATAATTTTTTAAAAATATACTTTTGGCATTCGCTCATGAGATAGGCACTGGAGAGTTTTGAGAGAATGGTGACATGATCCAACTTTCTTTTCAGTAAGATTTTAATAGAATCATTGTGGGCAGTCAGAATAGTAGAAGGGGGAGACCAATTAGGAGGCAACACAGAAATAAAGAGGAGAGGTTATAACCTGCACCAAGGTCAAGGCAGTAACGATGGTGGAAAGGTATTGGATTTTGGAAATATTTCAGGCCTTGCTTTTCAACCAGGGGTAATTTTTTCCTGTAGGGGGCACTTGGCAATATTTGGAGATCTTTTTTGTTGTCACATCTGGGGTGTGCTACTGACATCTGTGAGTAGAAGCCAGGGATGCTGCTAAACATCCTATGCACAGGACAGCTCCCCACAACCAAGAATTATCAGGCCTCACAATGTCAATAGTGCCAGATTGGGAAACCCTGATTTAACGCTATGTG